CTCTCTGATCACTTTGATCGGCCCGACTATCCTTCTGTTCTTGACCTACACCTGATATCTTCTTTAGTGAGTCATCTCACATCCGTTTCAGAATTACTTTTTATCAATGACTGATATCCCCACGCTTGCTGTTCATTCTCCAGAACATATTCTTGAATTCTTTGTACCTACTGAACAACGGCGATTGAAAACTTGTTTCTATTTGTGAGTGGACTAATCGTGAGTACATCTTCTTTACCTCCATTGCTCTCTCATTTTCAGATCCATACTGATATATCTGCTTTTTCAGTGGGGTTGCCAGACTTCTGCTAAATTGTAAGTTTCCCTCGATCATTTCCGGATCTTTATTGATGAAGACACTTTCCTCACTTTCAATACCCTACCATCCCTTTGTCTCACTATCATACATTTACGTATTTGCCATCCTGTTGACCTCAGCTACTAGGGACTCTCTCCCGTCGTCTTCAAATCCAATTTAAGGGACTCCTGTGTACATCAATCCGACTTGTCACCCCCAGCCAACTAGATCTCGAAACTATGACGACCTACAATCCTTGCGATCCACTTGACAGGGTTTGATCTTATGCGCACGATTTGGACTTAATTGGAGAAATGACTGAAGAATGGTTACGAACTATTGACATGACATACCACCTAAATTCAGCGTTGAAAGATGTCTGGAAGGCGGTCAACGCGGAGCTTATGGGTGAGTCAAGCAGTGAAGTTGTTTGCTTTCGCTTCTTTTTTATTGATCCTAAGATTTCTGAGGCTCACGCTCATTGTTTGATATATTTACCAACAGCAATCAAAAAAGGTATCTTAGGACCCGACCAGCTCTATCCCCCCACTGCAGCAAATACCGCGTTTATGGATGTATCCCCAGCATTCATTGTGGAACGGCCTACCTCTATAGGTCCATCCCAGGCCGCCTCCTTCATCAACAGCAATGGGAAGCGTGAACGGAAACCTGCAGAGGAAGAAGACGAAGAAGACGAAGAGCAAGTTGCAAAACTTCCGCGTCGCTCTGCACGGCTGTCTGCCCCGATCAAAAGACCCCCCGTCATTCGTAAGGCGGCTTCAAAGATTGTACCTGACTCCCCAGATTCCGTCGAGAAAGGACTTCCGCCTCTGGACTCCTCTCTGTCCCGGCAACAGTCGGGCCCACCAAGGTCAGGATCAGCCCCTCCATCAGAACAGCCTGAACCGCCAAGGGCTGGATCAGCCACCCCATCAGAAGGCCCATCAGACACCGTCAAATCACGTTCAAGGATCATTGAACCTGAAATGGCCAAGGTACTTCAGGAGATACATGAACTGGACGTTGGCCCTTCATCGATGCCCATTGGTACACCTTCCGACTACATTGCCTCTCAGATAACAAGAGCTTGTCAATTCCCACACCCCTTGGAATACGAACAAGGCGAACTTTGGGAGCAGATCGACCCTGAATTCCTTAGAGTCATGGGTACAGATCTACTGAGACGCGGTGACCTCCGACATGGCAAATTCGGAGTTCTTGGCCTTGTTGAATGGATTCTTGACGCACGAGAGCATGCCAGCTGGGACAAAACATGCAAGGCAATGGCTTTACAGAAGTTCATAACCCTACGGGATCATCTCAAGGAGAAAGTCATATCAGAAGGCCCATCAGACACCGTCAAATCACGTTCAAGGATCATTGAACCTGAAATGGCCAAGGTACTTCTAGGAGATACATGAACTGGACGTTGGCCCTTCATCGATGCCCATTGGTACACCTTCCGACTACATCGCCTCTCAGATAACAAGAG